AAGCAGCGGGCATTAAATACGACATTGTTGATGTGTCTGTATATGGACGGGGCGGGGCGGGGCGGGGGGGAGGGGCGGGGGCGAGGCGAGGCGCAGAGGGAGGATCGGAGAAGGGAAGTTACGTGGTCGAAAGGGATCCAAGGTTGGCGCGAGGTCCTCGGTAAAAAGTCTTCGCGTCGCCGATGCTGACGCTGCCAACCGCCCCGCGAACTCCGCCACGGGCGGCGCCGGCCGCCGCCACGCCGCGGCCGCCCGCCGCCGCCGCCGGCCGGGCCGCCGCGCCGCGCGTCCCGCCATCCTACTCCCGCGTTGTCGCAGCGAGCCTCCGCAATACCGACGCCGCGCGCCGCGCACCAAGCAACTCTCTTTTGTAACGACTGCTCATCGTCGTCTGTGGACAATAACACAACTCGATTTTCATGTAGGGGCGGATAGATTGGGGTTCATTGTTTACCAACATATCTTCCTGCCTTTATAAAATGAATCGTTTTAGCCCCGGCCCAACCGGGACAAACTTTAATTTTCCGACCGGTCCCTCGACATGTGTGGTGGTGTAGTACATGTTAGTGTAAGTTTGAGTATGTAAGGAGTGAGGATAGGAGAAGGAAGACGAAGATAAGATCGCGTGCCCCGTCCATGGCCCGTTTATTAGGGTACTAGCCCGGCATTCGCCTCGTGTTGATCGGAGAACCAAGGAAAACTACCTATCAGAGTAGCCGGTCGCTGGAATTCTCCTCCGGGAAGCAACTGAATTCGACCCAGATATGTAGCTAATCTACACACCGTTGCTATCTGTCAAAAATCTTGCTACCGTAGTAATTGGCACCCCAGGACCTCGCGGTGAGAGGTACTGCAGTGCCATCAGTTGATGCCCTGAGTCACCTCCGTCTGTCAAACAATGGACATACAATGGATACCGCTTAGGCGAATCTCGAGCACCATTTTCACTTTCATTTCCACCGCCTTCATTCGAACCTAGGACCTCCCTGTCAGAGATACTGAAGTTTCATAAGTTGATACCCTGAGCCACCTCTGTCGATCAAACAATGGACATACAATGGATACCGCTGAGGCGAATCCTGAGTACCATTTTAACTTAAATTTCCACCGTCCTCATTCGAACCTAGAACCTCCCGGTCAGAGGTACTGCAGTGACACAAATTGATGCCCTGAGCCACCTCTCTGGATCAAACAATGGACATACAATGGACACAGCTTAGGGTGATCCTGAGTACCATTTTAACTTTCATTTCCATCGTCTTCATTCGAACCTAGGACCTCCCGGTCAGAGGTACTGTAGTGATGCCCTGAGCCACCACTCGGGATCAAACAATGGACCGCCGCCGAATGCATACCGCTAGGACGAATCCCGATCACCGTTTTCTCTTTCATTTCCACCGCCCCGTCACCTTTGCCGGCGCTGCCTCCGTCGCCGTCGCCGCCGCGTGCGCCTCCGCGGCGGCTCGCAGACGAACCGGGCCGATCCTGCGTCCGCGCCCACCGCGCCAGCCGCTCCCAGGGTCGCCCCCGACGGGCGCCCGCTCTCCGCCCGAGACGCTACTTTACGGCGCTCATCAAGTCTCGCGCCGGCCAGTTTCCTGCCCTCGAGGTCGCAGCATTGCGCGTGCCGATTCGGGTATCGGACGGTTGTACCCAAGTTGGCGGGTTCAAACCCGATCGAAGCCGTGGATTTTTAAGGGCGAAAAAAATCCTTCGGAGGGGAAGTAAAGCCGGCTGTCCCATGTTAGTAGATTTACTTGCATGTAAAAGATCCTCAAGCCTAAATGACGCCTCTGAGCTAAATTCAAATCGCCTGTTTCTCGCCCAAGATATACCTCCTTTCTCAGCTAGTGGTGAAAGGAGCATAGCCAAATTTGCGTGGTCAGACGGAACAGCAGGCCTGAGCCTCGCCTCGTAAAATAACGCATTAGTTCCATTCAATTCAGCATCCGAGGGCACCCTGAGTTACGCGCTCGCATGTCGTCAAATGTGTAATTTACAAAGGTTCGTTAATTAATCTACTTGAGAATCAAATAATTTTGTGGAGAGTGTTGTTTATGTGTCGAGGGCATCGGGGATTCGCGGAGCAGCCTTTGAAATGATTAGTTGTTCGCGGAATTTCAGCGAGATGCGTGAGAAAATGTTTGGAATGCAATGCGGCTGCACGTGCGGAACGGTATGAAGGAAATCAGAATGTCAT